GCCCGGTCGAAGTCCGAGGCAGGCGGCGGAGTCCTCGCAAGAGGCGTACCCGAAGGCGGACACGAACTTTTACCAGCACACGATAGAGAGGCGGCAGGCGGGCACTCCGACAGCCCGAGAGCGTGCGCCCGAGCTGAGACTGCCTCGGAGACGCGGTAGCGCCACCGCTCGGCCTGCGCACAGGCACGGCCGACGTCACGCGGGTCCCAGGCGCGGCTCACCACGCCGAACCCGCCAGCATCGGCGTCCGTGGCCCCGCAGGCGTCGGTCGCCAGCACCACGGGGTCTGGCCGGCGGCGGCAGTCCACGTAGCCGAACACGACGAGCGCTGCGGCGATGCGAAGCTCGGCCTCCACGGCGCTCCACAGGCGGCGCCGCCGCCCACCGGCCCAGGTCGCGAACCGGTAGGCCGCCGAGAAGATCGACAGCAGCTCGCGACGCACCAGCGCGCCCCACGTGAAGTGGCCGAGGAGCACCCGCACCTCGTCGCCGGTCGCCGAGCCGCGGTCCGCGACGTGCAGCAGGCTCAGCCGGATGCGCCACATGCGCCGGCGACTGAGCCCAACGCGGCCCTTCGCCTCGTCAAACACCAGGCCGGTGAACGTTGCCTCTGCACTGGGCCCCTCGAGCCCCTTGCAGGTCAGGCCCGCAGCGTCCAGCGAGTCGCGCACCCGCTGCCCCGTCTCCAGGGTCTCGGCGTAGTCGAGCCCGACCACGGCAGCACCGTCGACGTAGACGGCCGCGGCAGGCCCCTCCTCGAGAGCAGGAGTGGGGTGTCGGTCCCGCGCCAGCCGTTCCCAGGCCAGGCCGCTGCGGAGCACCTGCGTCTCCACCATCTGCTGGCAGAAGAAGAGGCTCCAGTTCCAGCCCATTGCGAGGACCACCAGCCGAGGCGACGCCTTCCGCCAGGCGGGCAGCTGCCCCGCCAGGTCGGGCCTCTCGGCCCGGAGCACCTCGAGGTCAACCGCGGGGAGCACGAAATGGTCGCGTAGCCCAGGCGGCGTGGCGATCCTGTAGAACGCGTTATCCACGTCCATCTGGGCTAAGTGGAGGGACTCGCCTTCTGGCACGGCCAAGCTGCTCCAAGCCCCAGCCGTCGGCAGCTCCGAATATGCCGGGGGCCGGAACCGCATGTTCGCCACCCGCGTGTCCGCGATCATGCGGAGGGACCGCTTGTCGCTCTTGAAAACGAAGAAGATGCCCACCGTGCTCTCGGTCCGCTCGCCGAGGTCGATCAGGCCTCGGCTCAGCAACTCACCAACAAATCGAGAGTAGGTCTTCATGCAATGCACTAATTTCGGGTCGGAGAAAGGGCGAAGACGAGGACCATCGGGCGGCCCTCCTTCGCGAAGAAGATGCTTCTGCCATCCTACCCACAACTCGCGGGCACGACCTGTCAAGCAGTCAGCGCCAACGCACTGCCCGCCAGCGGTCGGCAGGGAGACCAGCCCCTCGGAGTAGGAGGCTCGGCGCACGGTGTCTTCTGCATATCCCGGCAAGTGAGAGCACAGCTCAGCATGGGCTGCCGCTCCTGAAAAAGGTGGAGGCCCGGCCTCCTGAATGATCTCGCGGACGTGGTCGATGCCAGCGAGCTGGGCGCACGAAGCCTGAAGATCCCGACGAGGAGCCCCATGCCCGTACAGCGAATTCACTGCGTGCAAAGCCTCTGAGAGCCACTCCGCGGCGTACTGCCCCTGCCGCGCTCGTGAACGCACCGCCCGGCACCCCCGGCTGGCCGAGTCGCGACCAGGGCCGGGCACCGGGCAGGGCAGCAGCTCCCGGGCGACCACCATGGGCTACTGGCCCCCACCCCCGCCGGCGCCTTTGCTGCCGGTCTGGGGGCCCTTCAACTTCGCCTGGAGCTTGCTGATCTCCGCGGCCTGCGCGGCCACCTTGTCCTGCAGCGCCTTGTTGCCGCCGCCGCCGCCGCCGCCAGAGCCCTGGCCCCGCGACAGCATCCGCTCCTCGCGGAGCTTCCTTTTCTCCTTCATGAGCGTCGCCTCCTTGTGCAGCTCCGCCTGGATGTGCTCGACGAGCGTCGGGCACACCATGAGAAGCCCCCTCGTCTCCGAGGTCCCCATGTACAGGTACTCGTCCTCCAGGTACTCGTCGCCACTGCTCTTCAGCAGCCGCTCGCGGTGCCTCCACTCCGCCAGCTGAGCGCGGCGGACGAGGAGCTCCACCAGCGCCAGCTCCGTCAAGTTGAGCTGGTCAAAGCCGGCGCCCAGCTCCAGTGCCCGCATCGCCAGCTCGTGGTCGGAGACGCCGACGTCGGCCGGCCCGAGGCCGCACTCCGCGCGCCACTTGGTGTGGCGGGCGCGCGGATGCGAGTCTTGCTCCGCCAAGAAGCGGACGCACCACAGCGCGGTGCGGGGGCCCTTCACAGGCCACCCCGTCCAGGGCGTCTCCGACATCCCCCGCACGGCGTCTTTGAAGACGCGCCGCCTCTCGCCGTCGAGCCCGTGCAGGATGGGCATGACGCGCGCATCCATCGAGCTCTCCGCCTGCTTCTCCGTCACCGCCTTGGCCAGGTAGACCTTGCCGCCCGCCTTCACGACCGCGAGGGAGTCGCACACCGCGTACCACTCACAAGCGTCGAAGTCGGCCAGCACGTTCACGTCGCTGTCGTCCTCGCTAGCGGTGATCAGCCACCGCCTGTTCTCACTCGCCACCAGCTTCCCTGAGCCCCGGGCGAGCCCGTCAGAAGGAGTCGCTGTCCCATCCACCCGCGGCGGCCCCTCCGGCGGCGCTGCCAGCGCCACCTCCTCCCCCTCCGGCCTCGCGTTGCAGGACCCGAGGAGCTCCATGAACTCGAGGGGCGAGGGATGCCACTGGGCGCCGTAGCACGGGCGGGGTAGCCGGCGGCCGTCCCCGCCGATCCGCTCGCGCCAAAGCGGCTGGCCCGTCCGATCGCACGGCACCATCGCGTGGAGCGGAGGCACCTCGAGCTCGTGCGGGTAGATGTCCTCGTCCGGGGTCGCCGCCATCCACAGCGGGCTCGTCGGACTCGTCGGAGGTGTCCCGAGCTCGTGCTCGAACTCGTCGGCGTCGCACAGGCGCAGCAACAGGCGGCTCTGATAGTCCTCCTGCGCCCGCCACTGGACCAGCAGGCGCATGCCAGCGCGCAGGACCAGCGCCATGCCAGACGACGCTCACCACCAGCGTGCAGGTCGCGCAGCAGCAGCAGCCGGCCAGCACGCCCACCAGGAAGATGATGAGCAGAAGGATGCGCGTGCCGCCCAGCTGCTCTGCCGCCGCCGCCAGCTGCCCGGCCTCGAAGGCCAGCCCGCCGATGCGCCGCGCCCAGTCGGCCGCGAAATGGCCGATCGCGGCAACGCCCGTCTGAGAGGCGAGATTCTGAAGCATGCGGCCGCCGCTCTCTGAAAGGCTTGGGCCGAGCACGGCAATGGAACGGACGTGTAAGCGGTTCCAGCCGAGCAGCGGCCGAGCGATTTGGACAGGCAATCACGTTCACAGAGCTAGACAGAGGGGGAGGAGGAGGAACGAAGAGGTAAGAACATCGTTATTAATTATCAGCGTTTCCCGTGCGTGGTGTTCAGCTGCCCGCCGCATGTCCTCACCTACGTGCTCCTTATGCCTGTCCTGTGCACGCAGGCGCTGTGGTGTACACTCGCGCTGCGTTGCACCCAGATGCTGTGGTGTACACAGGCGCTGTGTTGCACATGGTTGCTTCGGTGTATGAGTTAGCGGTGGTGTACACAGGCGCTGTGGTGCACGCGCGAACTGTGGTGTACACAGGCGCTGCGTTGCACACGGCTGTTGCGGTGTACACAGGCGCTGGGGTGTCCACGCGTGCGGTGTGCAAGCGAACGTTGTGGTGTACGCAGGCGCTGTGGTGCAGATCGCCGCCTACATGCTGCTCCTGCTTGGCCCCGGTCATCCCTAGGCGTTACTGGACGCCGCTGGCGCGGAACGTGACGTGATCTGGGGGGCGGGGGGGCGGGGCCGGTAACGGCCGCTATCCTGGACCATAAAAAATGCAGGTTCTGGTGTTTGAGCTTTGCTCGAACTTTGATCGAGCTGCGTGCGAGTTTCGTTGGAACCGTGTTTCTGAGCCTGTGGTCAGCGATGCGGGCGAGGCTGCCCAGCATAACGCGGACCGCTGGCCCCTCCGCCCCCCCTTCAGCTTCGAAGTCTGGCAGGAGCGAGGGCCGCCCACGGCCCCCCCCTCCGATCCCAACCAGGAAGGGGGGCGGGGGCGGCGGGGTTCCCCCCCCTCCCCCCCCCCCAGGTTCGAACCAGGGGGGAGGGGCGGGCTCTCCCCCCGCTCCAGTCCCCCGCCCCTCCCTTCTCTCCCCCCCTCCCCTCCTCTCCCCCCCCCTCCAACCTACCTTCCCTCCCCCCCCTCCCCCTTACCCTCCCCTCCCCTCCTCCCCTCCTCTCCCCCCCCCCCTCCCCTCCCCTCCCCTCCCCTCCCCTCCCCTCCCCTCCTCCCCCCTCCCCGGTGCAGAGGAGGAGGAGGAGGCTATTCCTACCCCTCCCCCGGTTCGAACCAGGAGGGGTGCTGGCCAGCAACGGCAGAAGGTGCCCTTTCCGATGGTTCGACAACGGGCCTGTTCGCCTGGTGTCGGGCCCTGGGGCCATGACGGATGCTACTCCCTGGACCTCCCCTGGGGTGCGTGCTGACCAGAACCTCGAGGCCGCCTCGAGGTTCTGGTCAGCGGCCCGATGGCTTTGGATCAAAAAGCGCGTTACAAGTTGAACGCAACGTGGACATCGCGCCAAATCTGGGGGGGGGGGCCAAGCGGACCCTCTCCAACCGCCGATCTACGAATGTCAGAAAGAAAATCAAAACATAAAAATTGACCTCCAAACTTTCTGCTGTTGGTCAGAGCTGACGAGGCGAACATCCAGCGGTGACGACGAGGGCCCCCCCAGGAGGCGCCCCCCCCGAGGAGGGAGCACGAGGCAGCGGAGGGCAGCGGTGTGGGCACCGCCTCCTCCCCCGAGCCCCCCTCGCGCTTCGGCGGGGCGCGGGCCTGCTGCTCGTGCAGCTCCCGCCGCCGCCGCAGCTGCTGCCGCTGCTGCTCCTGCGCCTGCTGCCGCACCGCCTCCTCTGCGCGCGCGCGGAGGGACGGGGCCGCGCGGCCCAGCGTCAGTAGGGGGCAAACAAACCTAGCTCGCTTTTGACCACCCTCGCTTCCAAGAGATACCAAGCGATGCCAGACTACGGCCTGTACTGGTCAGGCCGCTTGACGAGGAGGCGCGTGATAGGACTTGGTTTTGCCTGGAAGCGAAAGCGGGGTAGGTAATTCAGGTCGGGCATGCCCCCCTGCCGGCGGATGTTGACGGGAAAAGAAGCATAACACATGATCAAAACATGTCAGAACAGATTCGAACACAGTCCAACAAAGACCGTCCCCGGACTGCTGTTTGACTATGACTGAACACTCCTCCTGCAAAGGGGCATGCCCGACGGAAGCCTGGCGCGGAGCGGGGCGGCGGCCACGCGCGCGGGAGCAGGCGATCAACATTCGATCCACGCCGCCGGAGGCAGGGAGCCGATCGATCGGCAGTCTCGGAATCGAGAGCAGGATATCCACCCCCACAAAGGGAGCACCCCGTCGCGCGATTCGGTGAACGCACGCAGAGAGGAAGATGATCAAACAGGGCAGGGCTGTTTCGGAGACGCCCAGGGCCGTTTAGCAAACGACAGTTCTCGGGTCCGCGTGAATCTCTTCCCTTGGTAGAAGAAAAAACGCCATAGACAGGCAGTGGAGGCCCGTCCACAAGAAACCTTCCACAAGAAACCCAACCCTGAGACCCCAGGACGTCCACCGTTTCTGGGTTTGGGAACGTCACGCTCTCCACAGCAGAACCATCGAAGCCCAAGAAACCCAGGGCACCCAGGAGGCAAGCAGGGTGCTTCTTGGCATGGGGTCCCACTGCAGACATCAACTGCTGGCACTCCGCGCGGATTTCTTGGATAGAGGAAAAAGAACTATGCACATACACCGATTCTGGCCGGGCCCATCCTAAGCCCAGGATCGGTGCATACGCCCTCCTAATTACCTTGGCCAGGAAGACATATGCACCGATCCTGGGTCAAGGATGGGCCTTGCCAGGATCGGTGCATGTGCACAGTTCTCTTCGCCCGAGTGGATCCGCTCCGAACCCCCCCTCCCTGGCGCGCGGACCGGGCCGGGGGCCGGCACCGGAGCCGCCGCCCGGGCGGCGGCCACGCGCTCGGGCGGCGGCCACGCGATCAACATGTTCTATCAGTGGGTCGGACATGTCCTCCTTCCTACAGGTGCCATTTTGAAGCACAGAGTCAGACTGGTCAAGCAGTGCTCAGCAGTATTCGGAAGAGCACGAAACATCGTCCCCCGGACCATTGCTCGACTGTCCTTGAAGCTTTCTCCTGCAGAGGGACGTGCCCTCCCTAATTCTATCCACGTCGGAGGCAGCGAGGCATCCGCTGGACGCTCAATCAACATTCTGTCCAGGGGCGCGCATGACCCATTGGTCGGAACAAGTAGGTGGAAACACGAAGTTGGAAGACGGAGGAAGTAGATTGGGTTCGGGCCCACCCAGTGAATAACAGCACGCAGCAAACGCAGATCGGCTCTCGAAGCAGGAAGGCGCTTGAGGTAGACTGGGCTCTGGGAATCCCGAAATACCTACTTTCAACGACCGATGGGTACCGCTACTCACCAGACCTCTCCCAGGGTGCGTTCCGATCCGAATTTCGACGCGAATCCAGCGGTTGCGACGAGGGCCTCCGAAGAGGCCCGACAAGGGGGAACACGAGGGAAAAGGTAGCTGGTGGTATGGATACCTCTTCCCACTCCGAGGAGCAGGCCTTTCCTGACCCTGCTGTGGCCTCCGTGCCCTGGACGCCCTCGCGCTGGCCAGACCTACGCCGACCGCGAGCTCCTCGGGCCGCTGGCCCGCGGAGCCCGCGGACCCCCTCCGAGGGGCCATTATGAAGTCCGTGGGCCGCTTGTAGGCGGCCCCTGGCCGGGCGGGTGGTCATCGGGGGTCTTCTGACCAAGGTCAATCCAAACCCGAGTCAGTCGAGCCTCGCAGGATCCTGCAAGATCCTGCACCCAAGCCCGGGTCTACGCGAAGGATCCGGCAAGATGCGGCAGGGTCCTGCACCCAAGCCCGGGTCAATGCGACCCTGGCCCTGCAGGATCCTGCAAGATCGGGCGCTGTGGCTGACCCCCGCTTACATTGACCCCCGTCTCAAGGCTCCCGAGTCATCGGGGGCGGCCAAGAGGGGGGCGTCCAAGAGGGGGGGGCGCAAATCATGGCCGGCGGCATGTGCGCGGCCAAACGGGGGGGCCAGGGACGTCATGGAATAAGAAGAGGCGCCATGAATCTGGGAAAATATTATGGCCCTCTCCATGACATCCACCCTAGTAGCGTCCCTGCGGGGCGATTTGCTGGGCCGATTTTGCCCAAACGCACCAAACAACCACAATCGCCGTCAGTTCGGCGCCCTGACCTCTTCTGAATCTCCGTCGCTTCCTTCTTGGCGAACTTCGCATGCAATCCCGATTCCAGGGGCCCCAGAAATTCCCACGATGTCCGCGTGGCGACGTCGCCCCCCGTCGCTCCGCCCTGCCCTGGCCTCCGTTTCCACCCCCCCCCCTGGGCCGACCCGACCAACGGGCGGGCCGGGCCTGGACCGTCGGCCCCCCCCTCCGGCCATACACGTGCCCTGCCCCCCGCCCCCAGCCGCTGCCTCCAGCCGTGCCCCTGCCCACGCCACGCCCTGGCGAGGGGCCACGAGCAGGGCTGGGTCGGGCACGCCCGCCCTACCGGCGGGTTTTGGTCGAAAGCTAAAACATAGTCCAAACATCCACCAGAACTTCAAACATTTATACACACATATATAAATATAGATATGTGTATACATATACATACACATCCATATATATATATATATATATGTGAAAGAGCGTGTTCTACCGCTGCTGGCGGAAAACCGGGGGGGGGTCACTACCGGTTCGAACCCCTCCCCCCCCCCCCCTCCAGATCTGGAAAACCGGGGGGGTCACTACCGGTTCGAACCCCTCTCCCCCCTCCCCCCCCAGTTCATCCTGAAAAGGAAGGGGGGGTCACTACCGGTTCGAACCCCTCCCCCCCTCGAAAACCGAGTGGGGGTGCGGACAGTGGTGGGGACGGTGTTGGTGGGGACAGTGGTGAGGGGACAGCGGGACAGTGGTGGGGACAGTGGGACAGTGGGACAGTGGTGGGGACGGAAGTGGTGGGGACAGTGGTGGGGACAATGGTGGGAACGGGGGGGACAGTGGACAGTGGTGGGGACGGTGGTGGTGGGGACAGTCGAGTGGGGACAGTGGGAATGAGGTGGAAACAGTGGGATAGTGGAGGGTACAATGGTGGTGGGGACAGTGGTGAAGGCGGTGGCGAGGACGGCGGTGGGACAATGGGACAGAGGTACAGTGGGGACAGTGGTGGGGACAGTGGGGACAGTGGTGGGAACAGTGGGACAGTGGTGGGAACAGTGGGACAGCTCAGTGGGACAGCGGAGGAGTCAGTGGGACAGCGGGGACAGTGGGGATAGTCGGGCAGTGGTTGGGTCCGTGGAGACAGTGGGGAGAGTGGAACCGTGGTGGGAACAGTGGTGGGAACAGTGGGGACAGTGCGACAGTGGTGGGGGCACTGGTGTGGACAATAGGGACGGTGGTGGAACCAGTGGGGACAGTGGTGGTGAGGACAGTGGTGCTGGGAACAACAGTGGGATGTGATGTGGACGGTGGTAGGGACCGGGAGTCGTTTGCTGGCGGTGCGTGGGGGGAGGGGGGTCGAACCGGTAGTGACCCTCCTCCGGTTTTCGAGGGGGGAGGGGGGGTTCGAACCGGTAGTGACCCCCCCCCGGTTTTCCAGATCTGGAGGGGGGAGAGATTCGAACACCCGTAGTGACACCCCCCGCGTTTTCGAAGGGGGAGGGTGGGGGGGGGGGGCGGGTTAGGGGGGAGGGGGGGGGTTTTGCCGGGGAGAGGGGGGGGAGGGGGGAAGGGGGGGGGAGGGTTACAAGGTCAGGGGGGGGGTGGATTTCGGAGGGGGGGGGGGGATATCTAGGGGGACCCGTGCGGTTAGGGGGCGCCCGGACTCCCGTGGTTCCGGAGGAAAAAAGGGAGGTTGGCAATTTTACAGTAAAGCGGCTGTGGATCACGCTCTCTCATATCCCGGCCCCCCTTGTGGGGCCACCAGGCTGCGAGGCGCGTGATTCGCAGTTTCCTGTACCAGTTGTAGTTTCTAGTTTCCAGTGTTACAGTTCTGCTTCTTGCTGGTTACTGTAACTAGTTGACTTCTTGCTGGTTACTGTAACTAGTTGATTGACCGCGCGCGGGGGGGGGAGGCCCAAACAGGATTTTCCAGCGTCCCCTGGGCGCGTTGTCTGAATTGCTGGGGGGGCTCGAAATCGACACTCCTCACGCAGATCCGCGGGGTCAGGGTCCAAAAACACATGGGATTTGCCACATTTCTGAAATTCGGTGCCACCCCTCACGCAGATCCGCGGGGTCAGGGTCCAAAAACACAGGGGATTCGCTACATTTCTGAAATTCGGTGCCACCCCTCACGCAGATCCGCTGGGTCAGGGTCCAAAAACACAGGGGATTTGCCACATTTCTGAAATTCGGTGCCACCCCTCACGCAAATCCGCGGGGTCAGGGTCCAAAAACACAGGGGATTTGCCACATTTCTGAAATTCGGTGCCACCCCTCACGCAGATCCGCGGGGTCAGGGTCCAAAAACATTCGGGATTTGCCATGTTTCTGAAATTCGGTGCCACCCCTCACGCACATCCGCGGGGTCAGGGTCCAAAAACACAGGGGATTTGCCACATTTCTGAAATTCGGTGCCACCCCTCACGCAGATCCGCGGGTTCAGGGTCCAAAAACACATGGGATTTGCCACATTTCTGAAATTCGGTGCCACCCCTCACGCAGATCCGCGGGGTCAGGGTCCAAAAACACAGGGGATTTGCCACATTTCTGAAATTCGGTGCCACCCTTCACGCACATCCATCGCAAGGCGTGGTAACCCAAACTGCGAGAACTCACTCGGCCCTTTAATC